TTCTTGATTCACTTAAAACTATCCTTTATCAGTAGCATTATCTTAACTCGTTTCAGGATTATTACTATTATTATAACCGTTACTGTTAGTATTACTCATTTCTCTATTGTCTAATGATTAATTGGATGGAGGATTTCATCATGAGCTGATACCAGTTAGAGAACCACAGGAAAACCACACCAGGAAGTACTGGAAAGCTGTTTCCTCCGTCCAAGTTTGGGACTCTTCATCAGTACTCACCTACCACCATTGTAGGTTCGAATCCAGGGCCTTCTGGTAACAAGGCGAGCTAGCTCGTAGACCATTAAGCCACTGGGACCCGATCCAATCGCCAATCCATGAATTCCACCTTCTATCAATTCATGACATAGCGCAACCATTTTGTAATGTCTTTTTCGATGAGTTACTGTCTCATCTTCAACCTACTGTGCCCTACTAGTCATGGCTTCCAACCAGATTCCCAGGTCACTGCCTGAAACGAGCCAGTCACTAGTGAGCATCAGATTAATTTTCAAGTATTGTATTAGTAGGGATTTAGTTTGATTGGATGGATGATTCCATCATGAGTTGACATCAGTTAGTTGGTCCCAGTGGCTCAATGGTCTACGAGCTAGCTCGTCTTATAACCACAGGGTCCTAAATTCGAAACCCGGTGGGTGAGTCCCAAACTCGGACGGAGGAAACAGCTTTCCAGTGCTTCCTGGTGTGGTTTACCAGTGGTTCTCTAACTGATGTCAGCTCATGATGAAATCCTCCATTCAATCAAGCTAAATCCCTACAAAACCAATACTTGATAATAAATAATTGTGATGTAAATGAAGCATAATGCACTCTATCTTAATTTTAATCTCTCATATTCCCTTCCCCTACCTGAAAAACATTGACACGTGTCGCTTTGCATGACTGATTCAGTATGATTTATTTTCTTATCAGTTTTATATCTCCAAGTGTAATCCTAAAGGTATATGTATCCTTGAATGTAGAGTATTCAGCAGGAGAAGAGCGGTTCTACCGAAATTTGATGAATTCATTAAATCCTACTTTATTAACCCCTTTGTTGCCTGTTTTAAATTCGATTTGGGAAATGAATTTTCCAGAAAATCTGATCACGGATTGATAGAGAGAGAGAGAGAGAAGATCACTGAAAACCAGGGAGTACTGGATAGATGTATCATCCTCACAATTGGGAACTGTTCAAAAGTACGCACTCACAGAGTTTTGAAACCTGGACCTTCTGGTTTCAAGTCAAGCTCTTAGACCATTCACCCATTGGGACCCAACTCCTCAATTTCCAGGACATACATTTTAACTTCTACCAATTCGTGATTTTAGCCTAACGTGACTGGCAACAACCGTTGTCATCGGCGGAGAGTATCTTCGCCTTCCTCCATACCGAGTGAACTCCACTGGTCACAGATTCTCATTAAAAACTGAAGGCATCTTCGTACTGTAGCCAGTCATTAGTGGGCATCAGATTAATTTTCAAGGGATGGTTTGTGGGGATTTGATCTGTTTCAAATTTAACCATGGAACAGCCGCCTAGTTTGGGACTCACCGGCAGTATGCCAGCGTTCGAATCCAGGACGTTCGGGTAACCAGACAAGCTAGCTAGTAGACCAGTCAGCGACTGGAACCCAACTCTTTAATGGCCAGTCCCTGGAGCCCAATTTTTACCAAAGTGAATTAGAATTAAAATTTACAAATTTCCAATAGAATTTTATTGATAGATCAAGGCAGCTGTTGTAGGTTCACATAACTTTCGATGCTAAATGTGTTTCTTTAAATAAATTATCTTGTTTAATTCATCAAGGGTTATAATAAGATATTTACGACATTTCGTAAAGTATTTCTTAACTATTTCTGAATGTGACTTAAACACGTACGTGATGATAAGAAAGATAACTGAGGTGGTAGAAAGAATGAAAATTCTACTTCTTGTATGCAATATATATATGCTAGTCTAATAGTGTAATATCTATTGATAACTATCAGTGTTACAAAGAAAAGCATTAAAGATGACAGAGAATGAAAAGAGCCTGATAAGCCAAAATTAGGCCTTACAATCTTCAAAGTTTGCTCGAGAAAACTAGATATTCTGAAAGAACAAACACATTCAAAGTGAATAGGCGTAAAATTCGAATTTTTGGTTTGTGGTAAAAGGTTGGAACTTCAAGGTGTTATGGGATTATAAGTGATTAGTTGAGTGATCAGAGGCATACACTGACGTCTCGGAATCTTAAGTGGACACTGTCAAAAAGCTGCATTATATGGAGGAACAGGTGTTCTGGATTGTCTTTTAATTTTTGCTAGCTAAAGTCGACTTTTGACGAATGAATTCATCAAGTGATGTGGTATATTTCTTGTAGTGTAATTTTCCCATGCACTCGTTTACTAGTCACCACGAGTGTTGATTGACTTATTGATGTACGTTGATCAAAACATGCCATCTTCAATGAAATATGCGTCTATGTGGAGTAATCATCTAAGTGGCTGTGTGAGTGCTGGCGGATATGTGACGAACTGCATCGCTAATGGTGTATAGAAAGCTAGTTTGGTGTACGCCACTTTTAGCCACCTGTGATTTTCAAACCTCGAGTATGCAATGCTTCAGTGGGTTCAGTTTTGGCGTACACACCTGTGAGTTCTGGCCTTTCTAAGATGAGGATGTGTGGTAACTCTGCGTATTTGATCATCATCGCCTCTGTAAAATAGCTTGGATCGGGTGACATCACCGTCTGAGTAATTCTGACGTCAGATAGAGTGTGTTTTTGGACACAGTAGAGGTCGCCATTCATTGAAAACCAGCTTCATTAGCTTGGACATGTACTGTGAACGTCATCCTAGTGGATCCTATACCAGTCTCTGCTCACTAGCGCTAATAGGACTCTATTACGTGAAATAAGGAGACGTATAAACCAATGGTTTAAAAGTGAAAGGGAGGGGGGGGTAATATCGTACTATCAGCAGAGAAGCTAGTCACGAATATTGAGTAAGAATGAATTAAAAAGCACTGTCCGAAGGTGTCACATATCTTCATCATGGTTTAATGCTATTTCTTTAAAAGTGCTTTTGATTTCCTCTGTCTTGTTTGTTTGAAAAACACTTATTTTACATAGAAGGCCTCAAAGCAATATTTGCCTTCTGTCCATGAGTTACAATACATAATCTTTGACTACTTAACAAGTATGCGATAGTAAACCTTCACGAATACCATTTCATCCCCCCCCCCACTAGTAAAATTAAAATGAGAACCGTATTTTCTTTCTAGATGTATCAAAATCAAATGACTGACTGATTCAAACTGAATAGAGGAGTAAGACAAGACTGCCTGTCTATTATCACCAATGATATTCCTAAATGTGTGTGTGGATGATTTATGTTTAATGTCAAACAAACTCGAAGACTTGCAGACAGGTGAAAACCAACAAACTGCCTGGAGAAGCAGACAGCAGAGACAGGACTCCAGGCGAGAGTAGAGCAGATGGAGGTGATGAAGCAAAAATCACCATCAACTGGCGAAATTCGAAAGAGGTAACTTCCATCACTTATCTAGGAAGCAATGTGTCAACCACAGACAGTCGAAATAGAATAAAGATGTTAAAGCCAGTCAGAATCGGAAAGGTAAGATACACCTTCACCAATCTTAAATTTGTTTTGAAAATTTTCTGAACTCAGAATAAAGAACAAGACTTGAATTTTCAGAAATTCGGCGCATCATAATTGTTACTTTAGATCTCTTTTTACTCTCTCTCTATTTTATCCTCCTTTGTGTGGTACATGGAGTGAAGCAACTCGAACTTTTGTGCACTTGTGAGTAAAGTTCTAGGTTGGAGCCAGTCAGTCAGTCAGTCAGTCAAATATTGTCACAGATAAGTCAGTGGAAAAACCACCCTATGTACCGTAAAACATAACTATTAATTGTAGTACATGCATTATAGCTGAAAAGAGACGAGGCAGATCTCCGAGAGGAAGTTTTGTTTTTGATTAGAGCTTGATTCCACATCGTATTTTTTGTACAGGTATGGAATTTTCAGCATGTGATATCGGTAGGCCAAATTTTTCACGCAGACCATAGATATCAGGGGTGTGCATCGGCAGGGGATCGAACCTCAACTATGTACATGGTCGGTGAGAGTCCTAACCACCACTGTACCACCGACGTACAAGTGAGAGAGAGTCTACTATCGACTCTATCCAAATATGGAGAGAAGATTAACTAAAAGGTATGAATGAATGAGGATGCAGGATTCTGTATTAATGCCATCGGTGTGCCTTTCTTTAAAAACAGCCCACAACCATCTAAGTTAGTCATTTTATTAACAGTAAATTAGGAAATAAATTTCTCCTGTTAATTAACAAATATTGTGAGTTTATATTTCTCTGAACTCTCCCTCATTATACAGCCAACTAGAGTAGTTGAGTATTGGGTAGTTAACAATGACTATATTACTGACAAATTATGCCACTACTCTGCGTAAAAGGCACAGCGGTAGAATGCTTGCTGACCACACAGGTGGTCCGGGGTTCGATTCCCGACCAACGACGCACTCCTTTACCTCGTTAAGGCGGTAATAAGACCGGTGAAGAAGGAAGGTTGAAGGCATAAGGCTAGCAACCCCATCCTGTAAAAACAAACACCACTGTTACAGAAACTTCAAGCATCTACCTTGAAGCCCTAGTTCCCCTGGGAACGTAAAGGAATAGAAACAAAATCCCATTACTCTACTCTCAACTCCACTTAATGATATTATCCATACCAACTCACGTGAGAAATGCATTTTCTTTCATTCCTTCGAACTTTAGGCTTTGTGGCCTCGGTAAAGATGTTGGTCTTAGGGGATGGGGTCGCTAGCCTCATACCCAACCCCACCCCCTCTTTACAAGGTTTACTACCCGTAAAGACAGGTTTAAGAGTTCTTCGGCAGGCGATCGGACTAAGACCATGTATTCTATCACAGAAATCACTGGCACACAATGTATATATATGCGTAACAACTTACTTGGAAAGTACTGAATGCCTGGAAACGTGTTCGACAAAATCGGCATAAATATGGTCTTAAAACTGATGATTGCGGGGATCCAGGTGGACTACTTATTTGTTCATTATTAGCATTATTTCTGTTCGCCTGTAATTTTGCCTGTTTTGAATTAACTGGCATTTCAGATGTTGGTGGTGTACTTGCTTCTTGTTGATATTCTGTTGTTGAGAAATGTGGAAATATTGAGCCTAAAAGTTTAAGAGCTGGGAGTATATTTAATAATGATGCTGAATTCATAGTATTATCATTATTGCCATTATTATTATTATTAATATTACTGTTACTAACATTAGTGAAATGTTTCCAACTGAATTTGGTTCTATTTTATGTACAGAGGGAGAATTCAAACTTTGAAATAAATGTGATGGTATTTTGGTGGTGTTGGTACCTGACACCGTAGTAGTAGCAGCAGCAGCAGCAGCACTACAGACTGGTGCTGGAAGATTAGGGAAAGAATTTTGTAAATTACTGCTATTTGCTGTATTCCCTGTCTGATCTCCTGAAGGAATTAAAGGATTTATACATATTGGTGGGAATGGTACATTTGATGAGAACGGGGAATATCCTTTGAAGATGTTGTTAACAGTAGGTGGAAGAGTAGAGTCGGATACAACATTAGCATCACAGTTTTCTGTAACTCTAGTGATAAATGGACATGATATATTCACAGAATTCGTCGTCGGATTATTAGGAGCAATACTGTTACCAGTCATAGAGACAGGTGTCGTAGGAATTAATGTAGTCAAATTAGGCGTTGTTTGTGCAGTTATATTCATGGAATTAGCTGCTAACGATGCATACAACATGAGTAATAATTGATTAATATTAAATGGAATGGTATAGACTGTGAGTTAGACAGCAAATCATTTGTATAAGATAGAATATTAGAAAAGGCTTGAAGTAAGCTCATTTCTGTAGGCGCTGGACTATCCCCATTTGACTTTTGATTATTCGATATAGGCAAACGATTAGCACGTGTATCTTCTGTATTTCCAAGGAGTTTCTGTGATGAATTCATGTTAGACAAATGATGCTGATGATGATGATGGCTTCGATTAGCATAATGACTGGAATCCTTCATCGCATCCGGAATATCTCTTTTCCCTGGTGGAACTAACTGTGGGGAAAATAAATAACTTGGATCTGATTGTTCCTGGTGTTGAACATCTCTGAATTCATTGATAGCATTATACAGAGCGAGGGAATTCAATAGTTGAGGGTTATGCGGGTTGATAGACAAATCTAAAATGTTAGGAGTATTTAACCTAGACATTGGAGCATCCCGAGGCTTGTTACCGGGAGGATTTATCAGAGAAGAAGATACTGAAGAAGAAGAAGAAAGGGAAGGGGAAGTAATATTGACAGAATTCAATGAATCATTGGTAATTTCACATGATGGATTCGGTGTGGTAGACTGTCTCTTCTTATTTATTGGTTGAGGGTGCTGTTTTTCTGTGCTAGACCGATTAGTAAGCTTGGAAGATAAATTCACAGGAATATACTGTAAACCGTTTGCAGTGACCAGTGGTGCAGCTAAAATAAGCCCAAATCGATGGGCAGCTTCTGACAGTTGGGATAAATTCCATATTGTTTCATTTTGACGTGAAATATTATCAACACCTTCGATGGAGGGGGATTGACTGAAGACAGCTCATATGATGATGTCAAGCTGAATGGTTCTAATTTACTTGCTTTCGAGGTCATTGTTGAAAGATACTGAGATGTGTACAGCTGTTGACAGTTAGGACAAAACAGAACCTTCGGTGTGTGTTGGTCAGTTAAATTTCTATCAGCGTTACTATTTTGATTAATATGTGCAATGGTTTGAGTTGGACTAACACGAGTTTCACAGAAATTATTTGATGATGATGATGATGAAGCATCAGATGAATGATTGCTTTTCAGTTTCTCTGGTGCTAAAGATGGACGTTTCATGGAAGTTAACAGTGTAGGAGATAAGGCATTAGTGTTAGATTGATTGGGAGGATCCCCTGTTGCATTAGGAGTAGTAGGTTGTGGTGGGGGTGGGAGTGGTGGAATAAGACGAGATAACATAGGAAGCATAAAGGAGGCTATGGGATTTTGAAAAATTTGTGAAATATCACTGCCATTATTTACTCCAAATAAGTTTAATAGGGTAGGATTAATTAAATTATTCATTTGTACTGAATCGTATGTCGATATTTCAGGGATTGGTGTTAATGAATTCAATCCTGAAATACCATTTTCTTCGACGGTTGAGTATCTGACAGTAGGAACTGGATTGCATGAATTGATATTAGAATTGAAGTTTCCTGAAATGCCTCCAGAAGACTGTGATGAATTTTGTCGTTGAGCTAAATTTAATCAACAGAAACGTAGAAGGAATCAATAAATGTACAATATAGAAATTGAAATAAGAATAAAACTTGTGCACTGTGGTAGAGTATAATTCCATTACCACGATATAGAAATGTTATTCTATTCAACTAAACAAAGTAAAAACAATTAAACCCCGACTAAATGGAGAAGGTAATGAAATAAGCCTTCGATGCACCTGATACGACACATGTACACACACAACTGGAGAATTAGTGTGAACGACAGAGAAAGATAAACCACTGGTCCTCGTCACATGAAATAATTTCTGCGCCAATTTATGCGTATTTCTGGAATTAAGTATATTGGGTGTAAGGAAAGTTTTGATAGTGTGAAATATTCCAATTTTTATGAATTAAAAGTCAATCTGAACGAAGAATATATTCTTTTTGAATAATTTCATCTACGAAGGAGAATACAACAACTCTCTACACTTCGTCGACGTCCTACTGACGAGAAGAGAGGATGCTTCTGTCAAAAGAACCTTATTTAGAAAGTTAGAGACCAAAGCTCAGTATTCACATTTCCTTAGCTTCGTACCGATAAAATACAAACGTAATCTTTTTTTGATGTGGTTGTGTTCTCTGAGCTGGAGGGTTAATTTGCGAAGCTTTCGTCACCCAGTAGGGAGTAATAAAAAGTCCTTGGGTTTGTATGTTGGAAACTCTATCAGTTTCAATATGCATTTGCCAAATCACCTGTTCTCAATGGAATTAAGTACATAGATCGTACCAGTAGGACAATATGTACACGTGGTCCCTAAAAAGGGAACATAGAACAGTCAGTAGGTCAGTTTTGCAGGGCATTATTACTTCTAGTCATGCAACATCAGCAGAGACTACTTTCAGAGTATATATGTAAAGTACGGTGTCTGTAAGTATGGTATGTACTTTGCGCCGTCTAAGTGCAAAATACTGTCACAAGATTGGCAGGTACCTGTAGCTGCACTCACTCTTGCGGGTGAACCACTTGAAGTTGTTGATAAGCTTGTGTATCTGGGTAGTTGTGTGAGTGCTGGCGGAGGGGTGATGGATGAGCGTTCCAACCGTATTATGAAGGCTAGGGTGGCATACATCAACTTCAGCCAACTCTGGAGCCGTGGCGACGCTAGCCTGGCCGTCAAAGATCGGGGATACAATGCTCTACGCCTTCGAAACCTTGCCTCTCCGAGCTGAGGATGTGTGGCGACTCTGCGTATTCGGTCATCGCTGTCTCCTCAGGATTACTTGCGTTCGATGGCATCATCGCGTGAGTAATTCTGAGGTTCAGCGACGCGTGCTTGAACACAGTGGAGATCACCATTCATTGAGTGTCATCGTCTGGAAACACCGACTCCGGTGGCTTTGACATGTTCTACGAATATCATACTAGAGGAGGTTTCCGTACAGGTCTCTGTTCATTAACCCTGGGACGGGATGGAAGAGGTGGAGGGTTGGTCAGTCGATGATGTGGCGTCGTGGGATGAAGGATATTTGTGCTAGACTAACATCGGTTGGTTTATCAAGACTCCCTGATTGGGGTCCACGAGATAGCTAGAATCGATGACTCGAAACGCTATCGGATATGGCCAAGAATCGTAATCAGTGACGAACGCGTTGCAATTTCCTTCTTTCTTCCCTTCCCGATGATAGTTAACGAATACTGTTTGAAATTGTTAAGCATGACTGTTTTCCTTCCAGATGAAGTTATTTATTCGTTCTCTACTTACATTTTTACTTTTAATCTCTGTTGTTTTATTATAATTGTGTGGCGCATCTTTCTTGGTGCTTTATTGTACCAAGTTTTTTCTGCATTTAAATAAATAAATAAATAAACTACAACCAAGTTGCTCAAAGGGATTCTGCCTACATACATCTGCAGTCTTAGCGATCATTAGGAAGGAACTTGAACTCTGTGTTCAGTAATGTTTCATCCAGCCTCTTTTACTACCACAGCCTTAGTACTACTTTGTCTTCATTTGGCTTCCTGAATAACCTTTAATAATGAGCTCTATGTAGTCCAGTTTTATGGTTTTTTTCAACTCATTTTCGATGTTTTGCTCCCTTTTCTCTATTAGCAACTATTTTCAAAAGATTATTCATCAGTCAACTGACTGGTTTTCAATCCTTCTGACTACGTAAGACTATTCCTAATTTTTTCAAAGCTAGTGATTACCCAAGCACTCTGTTGTCAATCTACATTTCATATATAAACACTTTAAGTAATTTTTTTTTCAAATTTGAAGTGAAATTATGAAAACAGATCTCGCTGCTGACTGGTGTGTTCTTAATTACATTAATAAATGGGGATTTTCCATTCTCTAGATCTTTGTTAATTATAAGGATATAGTGTTCATTTCAAATCGACATTGATTGACTGACTGACTGACTGGTTTCAATGTAGAACTTTGCACAGATGTGCAGTAGTTCCAGTTGCTACACTCCCTCCTGGTAGCACACAAAGCAACAGAACAGAAAAAAGGGACATTCAGGATAGAGATAATAAACAGAAGTGTAAGTGAGGGAGAAATAATAGTAATACGGAAGAACAATAGAATTTTATTGGAAATGATAAATCATAAAATAGTGAATGCATCTGTGCCAGCGATTGACAATGATTTTGAGCCATAACACCGGTTGCCTTCAGTCATGATCAGTTCTTTCCATCTCGAGGACCACAACCAAGTAGTCAGTCTGCACCGCCCTACGTTGTAGATTTCACGGAATGATGAAGCCATGTTTTGGTTAAAGCATCTCTGACTGTTTTCAAAACCTGAACAGTGTATGTCAGCTGAAATTGCCTGTCGAGGAGTGCAATGCTTAGGCAAATGTGTAACACATGTCCTAACCCACCTTAGCGACATAGACTTCACCTTTTTTTAATTTTCCTTCCATTGCTCTTTGTATGATGCAGTAACCGCAAAATAAATTGTTTCCCTCAAAATTGTACATTTTTAGGGCAAAGTTAAAGTATAGCGATCTAGGAGCTTGAAAGATTCAATCACTTTGAACGCATACTATTTATCGGATAACGAGATCTACTATTCTGATAGCTTCATTACGAGCGTTGTTCACGAAGTCAAGTGCAAATTTCATCCTGATCTCATTTTTAATTGCTAATTTGGACAAAGAGTTGATAGCTCGTTAGGCTTACGTCTAGGGTTAGGATGAAGGACAGGGTTATTCCTCTATCATGTGTATTTTTTCTGGAAAATAGTTGCCAATACTTCTTACTGGAACCTCCATACTAATCCAATCAAGGGCTTTTGGAGAAGACTGAAAAAGCAGACTAAGAACAATAAATGGGTGACAAAAAGATGTGAATGTACATTTGCAGTAACTGGTTCAGCCTAAAAATCGATATTCCTCATAATAACCGGGAGGTGTTTTTAAAGTTATCTCATGTTTCATGTATTTAATGTGTGTTCATGTATTTCTTTTGTAAATAAACGCTATTTTTATGTAAAAATCACCGGTTTTTCTGTTTGGTGGCCTCAGGGTTAGTCGTGCGTTCTCATCCCATGGATCGTTATAATTTAACTTTTAATCTACACTAGTAACCAGTATGATGTATTCAGTTCTTCGTTTACTGCAGACTAAATTGTATCACTAGTTACTAGTGTTCAATGAAAGTATCCAATACAGTCCTACAGGAAGCAGGTCAATCGCGAGTCCGAGGCGGCATTAGGTGGCGTGGGTTTGAATCTCCTCACAACGGACACGACTTCCTTCAAGGCAGTTGCAGATACGTCTTGATGACTGACTGGTAAGTGCCAAATAGCAAGAAACTTAAGTCAGTCGGGCAAGGCTTCCTGTAGCCGATTGCCTCCAGCCATCTAACATCAACAATTTAAAGTGCACCGTGATGGTGGGTCACTTAGTGACATGGTGGCCACCCTGCAAACTTGACTGATAGAATTCAGTCTGCACCAAAGACAGGACTAGACACATCACACTAGTTACTGACTAGTGGAGAAGAAGAAGAAGGATCCGAGAACCAAATCCCATTTTTAGACGTCTTAGTCAAGCGAACAACCACAGAAGAATAAGAAACTCAATTTTATAGAAAATCAACTCACACAGACCAAATCCTGAATTTAAAAAAAAAACAATCCAATAACACACAAAAGGAATTACATACAAACACTATTCAAGAGGGTAAGGACTCATTGCAGCACTCCCACTTTAAGGAAAATTGAAGAAAAATATCTAATGGACGTTTTCTAAAGGAATGGATATCCACGGAATTTCATCAAAAGACAAACACCCCCAAGCCAACCTATCAAACAAAAAGCCCCCAAGGAAAGCACAAAGAAAATCACCTTACATATATAAAGGATATCTCAGAAATCACTACAAGACTCTTCAAACCTTTAGGAATTGACGTCGTACACAAACCAACAAAGTCGCTCACTCAATTCTATGTCAGCCAAAAGACTCAACAGCGAAAGAATATAAAACCAACATCATCTACAAAATAAATTGTAACAACTGCGAAAAACAATACCTTGGCCAAAGTGGACGTCCCCTTAGTCTTCTTCGTATCCACGAACATAAGCTAGCTGTCAAAAGACATGATATCCACTCCCTCATATCACTACATACAGACAACCACGGACATCAATTCGACTGGAGACAACTTTCAAATATTAGACAAAGGAAACAACAAGAATGTTAGAGAATTTTTAGAAGCCAGTCTGGTATTCCAGTGAATCATCAATCAATAGACACGTCGAGATAGACAAAATTTACCAGTCGATAAGGAAGAAACCTCACACACAAAAGGTCAAAGTTCAAGCCAAAGAAACTATCAGTTCCAATACAAGTAACCTAGAAGGTATGAAAACACACGAAAACAACCAATCACGTCCAAGGTCACCCATAAGGAGAGATAATTAATAAACTCGTGGAGAAATCTAAAAGCTCACTTCCTCGAATTGAAGATGTCGCCTAGTAGGGTGATGAAAGCTTCGCAAATTAGCTATCCAGCTCAGAGAACACAACCACATCAAAATCGTCCACCTGAGCTACAAATCTTCTCTATCACTGACTACTGTCCAATCGAAGTATCTGTATAACCTTCTTTCTTGATGAAATTCATTCGAATAACAAGCAGATGAAGTTACAACGATTATGAAACTAACAGTAACATGTCAAAATATTAAAAAACATTGACTACAGGTAGTGAAAATGAATAACTTTCACCACTGTGTGTGCAAAGCAATCACATACTACTATAATTCATCGTATTTATATATATATATATATATATGTGGATTTATTAAGATACGAAAATTTTCACAAGACATTAGAGACTGGCAAAATAAATAATCCGTTTATCCATTATTACTGCTCGTCAACTCTCTCTCGCGCGCGCTCTCTCCCTGTGCTTCTGCCTCTCCCTCTCCTTTCCTCTTTCACACAGACACGCACACACACAGACGCACGCTAATCCTGTCTATGTCTTCCTTTCAAGCTGTCGTACTCTCTTTATATAAGTATATAATATCGGCCTCTCAATTTTTATGTTGTATCTCTATTCCCATGTTAGTCTATACACACACAATGTACACAAACCAACGCGCACACACACACACACAACACAGACACACAAATATACACACATCTTTCTTCATGGAAAGAAATTGCTATCAGATGAAAAATTTATCTAAACAAACAATCTGAGAAACGTGAATTAAAGATAAGATAAGACAGGAAAACAAGAGATAACTAGAATTGATAAACGCGTAAAACGAGGCCATGAGGAGATAAGTGTAACCGATAAGCAATTAACCAGCTAACCATCTAACCAGCTAACCAACCAACCAACCAACCGAATAGATGGTGAAGTCAAGTCCATACAACAAGATTGGAATTAGAAAAGTAGATAAAGGCAGTAGAATAAAACAGTGAACAGGAATTATTTTTGGTGGTTGGCATGAGACAGATAAACAGAGTAGAAAGGAGATGAAAAAAACACAATAAAGGAAAGAGGGAGGGGGAGGGTAAGGGTGAAGGAGAACTACAGAGGAAAACACACCCAACTAGGCGAAAACTAAACAACATGGTGAGATATCAAATTAGTAAGGAGATACATAGTGAACTGCACGAAATTGAGAGAAAATTCTTCTATTGAAATACACTCTAAATTAGCATGGTTAAAAAAAGTAATATGATAAAGGCATGCAAAAAGCACCTCTCATCACTCCTATTTTAAAGCATCTCGCTTCTGTGTTCCCAGTGGACCATAAGGCTTCAAGCTAAAGCTTCGAAGTTTCGGTAGCAGTGGTGTTTCCATTTACATGATGGGGTTGCTAGCCTCATGCCCATCCTCCCGTCTTTATCAGTCCTCCAACCAGCTTAGCAAGATAAAGGAGTGCATCACCAAGGAACCTAACCCCAGACCAATCAAATCCATGAGGATGAAAGTTTTATGTATAGGGTGCGGAGGAGCAGTGAATATGATAATTGTTGTGAACGTACCAGGATGGATGACAGTCCTTCAAACACAGACAAATATTATACATCGACATCTAAGACCTTTAGTTAAACACAGTTTTCTATGCATAAAACAGCTGAACCCGATAATATTAATCAATTCAGACATATGTCCACGAATATGTATATCACGAAACTACACAAGAACAAGTAGAACTTTGCCCAGATGTGTACAAGTTCCAGTTGCGACACTCCCTCCTTGTAGTAGACAAACCACATGACCAGTTCAAACTCACTGTTGTGGATTTCGTTAACTGATGAGGAAATTTTTTGGTTTGATAACCAATAGCTAACTCTTCTCCAGACTGTTCTATTCTACGTCAGCTAACATCGCCTGTCAAGCAAGGCGATGAGTAGACATGTGCAAAACATTTCCTAACCATCTCAATCGGTGTAACTTTACAACCTCGTCGATTGATTTCCCCTCCTACTTACCTAACACTAGATGCCCAACCTCAATATTACCTCAATACCTGAGATAGAACGCAGGCACCCATGACCAAAGATTGCTAGTTTTCGTATCTTCCACTTCAGATGACCACGTCTCACAGCTAGCTATGAAGGAAGGCGGAGCGGACTGCTGAGCAGTACACACACAATCTTTGATCCATAGCCAGCTGAATATCACGTCTAAATCAGAGATAAGTAATTTCTTTCAGTCAGTGTCAAATTCCATCTTGATAAACTTCAGTTATTTTAATGTTTTAGATATATAATAATTACTGACAAGCAGTTAAACTGGCTTATTCAATTGTCTAACAAACCGAGCAGTAGCACTAAGTAGCACAAAAAAGACCTAAACGATGAAATAAAACAGATAGAAGTGGCGTTGGTGTTAAATAACCAACTATCCTACAAAATTCAATAGGAATATCAAAAAAGGTCAAAAGCAAAATAAAAATAATGGTGGAACTAATAATGATAACGAAATAGGAGAGAATACAAGGCATCTACAGTTATATCATATAAGGAGGGGACATCTGAGACTATCCCCATGCAGGATTCTCAATAGAGCAGGAATTATGGCGGTGGCATTGAAACCTACAAACTCACTCAGATAGGACAAGCTCCGTAGGCTAAACGACCCATTAAACCCAATTAAACAATATAATATAATTTACAAAATACCTTGCAATGATTGTGAGTGAGGTTAGCTACATAGGTCAAGCTAGTAGGTCGGGGGTAGTCACACCGCCTGTCAGAACATAAGAATTTAGCTAAAGTTGGAGTGATTAACCCCACGAAGTTAAGTAATTTAGAAAAAACTCACCACTGCATTGCACTGCATGCATTGACATACAACCATAAAATAGGGTGGGAGAGGGTTAAAATTCTAAGAAGTAATCTAGATGGGTGGAAAGAGATTGATTACTAAATCCTGGTTCATCGCGTGAATCTACACCCGACACATGCAACAGAAATGACTCAATGCAAATACCAGAGATATGGAAGATATTATAACCACCAGTCAGTCAAATCAGAGGAGGATAATAAATAATCTTAGAATTCCATTTCAATTTAAGTAGATAATAACATTCTAACAAGTTACTTATTATGACTAAAAAACCACTCGTCTTATTTCCCATCTGATTGTAATTGATCAATAACACTCGTATTATTATTTCTGAATGTACATTATCCTATATTGATTTTTATTCAAATGTCTAATCATCAATTCCACACATGTATTTAAATAAAGGAAGGAAGTTGTGTGGTTGGTGCCTTGATATGATTATGAGCAATGACAGATTGTGCTCGAAACGTGGTCATCAGTTAATATTACTGTATGGCAAACACCGTGTGATCTATCAAAATAAAATCTTATCTGTAATCCAGTTATACCCTACCACAGTGTCCAAGTTTTATACTAATATCACTTAGAAGAAAGTTCATACAGACTTACTACTTGTAGAATTTTGACTAAATTTATTAACTGGAGTTTTGTTATTTGTCGAAGCTTCAGCAGACGTGATAGTCACTGATGTTGACGGTTGAATAATAGTTGTTGTTGCTGTTGTTGCTGTTGCTGTATTGGATGAAATTAATCCAGGTCTTCTAGAACAGTAATGTGTCATATGCGCATTTAAAGTATCCATATTCGAAAAGGATATTCCACAATGTGTACACTTTTTATCTCTTCTTGGTCCAGTAGATGTTGTGTTAGCTGACAGCGATGGTGGAGTTGAAGATGCCATTGACTTTGTACTACTAAATAGAGTAGACGAGTGACAACTGGACATTGTAATTTGATCAGATACTTTGTGATTGCCTATAATAGGGAAAAAAGTTAATTATTTAGCAGAATGTATGCGAAAATCATATCTGGTGAGTTATATACAAAAATAATCTGGTTGATTGTGACCAGCTCTGGGAACCAAGATGCGAACTTCACTTATATGGAACTCGTCATCTAAGTGGATGCACCAGCATTCCTTTAGTCAGTGTCGGTGTTCCCACTGGGATTGAAACACAGTATCCATCTTTTTAAATATCAAAGCAACTACCCACCATACCACTTGGGCCACGGAAACCACCTCTTGTCCAGCGGGTATCAGTTGTTATTTGATTCAATATGGGCACTAGGTTCGAGTCTCAGTGAGAACATCATCACTCACTGGGAAATGCATTTACATCCAGATGACGAGTCCCAAAAAGGACGAAATGCGCATCCCAGTGGATTCCACTGCTAGTCGCCGTCCACCAGTTAACTTCTAATTACATGCCCGGATATCGTTGAAGCATCTGCACTAGAGGCCGACACGTCAACCTGAGACCAAGCACTTCGGTCCAATCAATCGACGGGAAAATCTAAAATTCAGTTAAAATGGATTACATCACCATATATATATACATGGGTAACAGTATTACTTTCATTGCACTGATTAGTGATACACATTAGTGAGCTCAGCTCACAAAGTAAGTTTTCAAATTGATGAACTTTAACATTCTTCAGTCACTGTGTCGACGTACAACCTTACACTGTTTATTAGATTTTTCTGTTTTCTGTCTTCCCTCACCCCCCCCCCATCTTTTTCCTTGTTTTCATAGTTTGAAGGCATATAAATTGATGGTAAATTAAACTAAAAATTGTAATACTTATATTCCGGATGCGTTCATCTTGTAATGTTTTCTCTATTACCTTTCAAACATTGAAGTATGAAGTGTTATTATTTATAACCAATGTAATTTCAGGTAGTTTACAGTTACCTGATGAGTGGAATCTGTGAAATAGAATGACATCATTTTATGCTGCAAGTTCGGTCTTTCATTCTCTATCGAAATATGGAAGTTGACAATAATGGAGCCCAAGGAATAATAGCTACCGCCACCGTATTATTATTATTCTTACTTTTTGTTTTACTCCTTGCCCTTCCAACTGGAAAATAGGACCTCAGGTTTCAGATATGAAGTTTCAGTAGCATTGATATTCACCTTTCCCTGAGTGGGGAGTTTCTAGAATCACATCCAACCTTCCTTCATTGTCAGCTTTACAACCAACCGGCTAAGGATGGTAGAGGTATGCACCGGCCAGGAATTAAACTCCATACCACATGAGGTATGAATGGCGGGCATCTTACCGCTGCTGAACCATCACTAGCTCTAGTTACATGTATCCTGTGACAATAACACCATAACACAAATAGTTAATCTCACTCCAGTTTAGATCCTAATCAATCACTAATATCTTGCAATCATGAACCGTTGAGTGAAAGATTAATTTATTATTATTATTGTTCCCTTGGGTTCCTAGTGGAACATAGGGCTTCAACTGCACGTATCCACTTGCCACTTCTGTCTTCCTTCTGCTGTACTTTTCACCTCCATCCATGTTAGTTAGTCCATGCTGTTTCAACTCCTCTTCACACCATCTCCTCCATGTCACCCCTCCACTGACGTCCCACTCGCCGTTTCCCACTCGGGTTCCACTCGAGCAGTGGCCTGACGCGCGCGCGATGTCACCCAGCGGCTTCCTCAGCCGCGAGTGTCCAATCCATCTCCACTTTCTCCTGCATATTTGTTGGTTGGCGATTGATTGGTTCTTGTTTTGTTTGTTTCTTCCCAGCCATAGTTTCTTGTTGGTGATTCTTTCCGGCCCGGCCATCTGATCTTCAGTATAGATCCAGCGAAGGCAGTTGTTGATAAAGGTGTGGTCTGCAACAGGCTGCTGTTGGAAATATTCTTTGTGACCCACCCACCAAGTTTCTGATCCGTATAGAAGAACTGACTGACCTGAGGTTTGTGTTGAAAATCCAACTGACGGAATTTCGTTGTTGATGCTGGCTGAGTGACGAAGATTTCCAGATTGGTTTCAGGTTGATGAATGTGTTTCTCGCCTTCCCGATTCTCGCTCAATTTGACATCCTCGTCCGTTCCGACTACCTGCAGTTGAGACAATGCTCTCCAGATAAGTGAATAAAGTAACCTCTTTTAAATTCCTCCAGTTGATGGTGTTTGGCGCTGGATGTTTCTGCTGTTTTTGTTGTTGTTGTTGTTGGTTGGTTATTTTCATAACCTCCATCTTGTCTATGTTTACCTGGAGACCTGTCTTCGCCGGCTGCTTTTTCGACCACTCTGTCAGCTTTTGCTTGTAAGTCTTCGATTGTGTGTGACATCAAACATAAATCATCCATGCGCGAAATCCAGGTCTTCTAGGTTCTTCACGTCGGTCGGTCCAGGATATTCCTGTCTTCTCGTTTCCCACTCACAGTCTGACGCATAATCCAGTCCACCACAATTAGGAATATCATTCATTGGTGGTAATAAGCACCCTTGTCTGACTCCTGTGTTTACTCCAAACGCCACGCTGAGTTTTCCGTTGTGGATAACTTGAGATGTTCCGTTGTCGTACAGCTGTTGAATAAGGTTGATGAATATTTGGGGTAGGCCGTGGTACTCGAGTAGTTTCCAAATTACTTCACAGTTAATGCTGTCCGTCGAAGGCCTTCTTAAAGTCTATCAAGTTGAGGTAGAAGTTTGATCGCCATTCCATGCTTTGTTCCATGATGATGATGACGCGTAGAGTTGCAGTTTCGTCAGAACATGATTTCCCTTTCCCGAATGCAGGTAGTTCTGGTCGGAGTTGTGTATCGAGTGCGTCCTTTATTCTCTCCAGGATGATGCAACTCAGAATTTTATTTGGCGTTGACAGGGGCATGATTCCTCGCCAGTTCTTGCAGAGTCCTAAGTACTGAATGGTTAAACAAGCCGCATAATGTAGTATTTTTTGTCAAGTAATCAATACTCCCCCCACCGGCGCCAGCTTATTCTACCCCCAAAGATAGAAAGCAACATAGAGATAAGACAAGGCTAAATGTGTGTGCTTTTCAATGTTCTGTTTACTACTTTGGTAACATGCACACATACACACACACCTACATACATACAAGATATCTTTATCTAATCTTCATAAAATGTAAATTCTAGAAGGCGAACAACACACACACTCGTCAGTCTGTTTTATCTCTGTATTTCTCAAATGACACTAATATATTTTTTTAATTAGTAAGCAGATAATATCAGTAGTGCATAGAATGGATAAGTGTTTATCGGTAATAAAATTTGGTATTATCAGTATTATTATTATTAGTAGTAGTATTAAGATATGATTACTATTACTCTTATTCCTAATCTTCTATACTATATATACTTTTTCTCTCTTTTACTGATAACTTATCATCATAACACATCAATCTACAATTTCTTATCAATATCCTACTCTACACATATCACTTCAGGCATTAATCGCAATGCCATGATAATATTAAATAGAAAATCGATTAAAGGTTTAGCATGCATATATATATACATATTTATAATGGCAGTAGAGTATACAGCTGATTTCTAAGCAAGATATTGACTATAATACTTTACTTTCCTTAAAAGAGGACAAGATAAAAAAAAGATAGATAGATAGATAGATAGATAGATAGATAGATAGATAGATAGATAGATAGATAGATAGATAGATAGATAGATAGATAGATAGATAGATAGATAGATAGATAGATAGACAGATAGTTGAATAGAGACTCTACTACTTACCTGATACAATGCGTACTACACCTATCAATGAGTCTTGTGGATTAATATCTGATTTGACTTGTAACGTGATTGTTTTTAAAATGGCTGTCAGTTAAATAAAAAAGAAAAATTAAAAGAAAAACAAAAAGTGAAAGAAATGTAGATGCGATGAGAATGATTAAGAAATAATATTATTAAACAAAATCAATACAAAAATAATCATCACCAGTATTTTTATTCTTATTTTTATTGTTATTAATGATGTTATCAAGCATTCTATAAACTTTCATGAGTTTGACCACGGATTGATGGATTTCAGTTAGAGGAACCATTTAAAACCAGCCACAGGGAGTACTGAAGAGCTATTTCATCCTAGGTCGACAGTTATCAACATTACGGACCCATTGGGGATGGATTTTACTGGAGTTCTAATGAGAAGTCGTAACCAGTGAGGTCCTAAATCAAGAATTGGTTGAAGTTAGAATTCATGGGGTGACTGGCCATTGAAGAGTCGGCTTCCAGTGGCTGAATGGTATACGACCTGCTCTGTAACCGGAAGGTCCTGAGTTCTAAAACCTGTCAGTGGGTGCGTACTGCCGATGATTCCCAAACTAGGAGGGATGAAATGGCTGTCCAGTACTCTGATATCAATCAAACTGGTCAAACTCGTAAAAACAAATCTAATCCTCACAAACCAACTGTTGAATATAAACCTTCAGTATCTTCATTATAACTTATTATAGTGATGATTTATCTTTAATACTATCATTAACTCTGTTGTCATCATTACCATTATAAGTGTAGATAGTGTGAAGTTGTTATTGACCGAAAATCGACTCATTGTAGTTTGAACCTATCTCTGCATTCAGCTGTATGGCAAAATTCCGAAAATTCCTTGAAAACGCATAGTCACGAAACGCTCCAAAGACAGCACAAAAAGACGATTATTCTTGGATGCGTGTATATGTGGTTCTATTCAATAGTGATAATAACATAACATCATCAATTCAATGTGCACCATGATGGTGAGCCACCTAGTGGCATGTTGGCCACATTGCAAACTTGACTGATAGAATTCAGTCTGCGCTAAACGAAGGACTAGACACATCACACTAGTTACTAGTGTCCAGCAGATGATCCTCGGTTGCGTCTATGTGCGGTTCAAAATTGACTTAATAATCCCATTAGACAGCTAAACAATCTAGTCCAGTCTAAGTATAAAAAGAATACTTAGAATCAAGTAGGATATTCCTAACAAGGTAGGGTCTAAAACTTTGTTCACAAGAATCGCACACCAACAATTTCTCAAGAAAATCCAAAGTCACAATGACCTCCATTCACTCAAATAAAACCCCGGTCGTAAAAGCAACACATCACCAATGTATTGCACAACCAGAAAGGGAAGCATTCAAATTAGAGATCAAACAGGGACCAAGATCAACAATAAGGAATATCAGTCTCTTAGAGAAAAGGATATTAATTACAAAGTTAGTTAAAGCATAGAAATAAGTTAAAATACCATAACCAGGTGATACTGTCGGTGGTACAGTGGTAGTGTGGTGAGAGCAGGCTGCTAGCCGATTGGTTGGCACTAATCTACGTTAAGGTCTAGGTCACTAATATGGGCCGTGAACAAGGCTGAGTCAACAACCAATCACAGCGAAGCTAACGTGGCAAAATATGATTCGCAGATAGAGAACTCTGTTTGTCAAGGAATCCCGAAACAACCAATCAGAAGCCTGCGTTTGTCTACCTAAACAACCAATCAGATGACTGCGCTTGTCTATAATAATGTTGTCTGAAATATGTATAAATACGTGTTGATTTTCATAATAAAACGATCTGTTGCCTGGCCCTTGTCTTCTGTTGTTACATTTGGTGTCGCTGCCTACCGACAAATGAAAAGCCTATACCCTGCAGTTTTTGATGGAGACATATGGATCTTCGGGCAGGACTTCAAGGCTTCTGCGCAGTTGAGTGGCGTTCAAGATCTGCCAGCTATGGAGCTGCTACTTGAGACGCTGCTGGGAGGTCGGGCGAAAGCAGCATATGAAGGTGTCGGCCGAAGTATGGACGAATGTTCGACAGGGTCAGGTAAACAGTTTCCAAAGTGGGAAGGACCATATATGGTCACTTCGAGATGGGGTTACGCAGACACAGACGCAATGGCGAACAATGAGAGGCGCGTGAACGTCAGCGAGCTCCAGAAATGGATACAGCGAGACAAGCCAACGATGACGCCTGCACCAAGTAGATCAAGCCGACTTCAGTCGCACGTATTTGACGGGGGGACGAGTGTGGTGAGAGCAGGCTGCTAGCCGATTGGTTGGCACTAATCTACGTTAAGGTCTAGGTCACTAATATGGGCCGTGAACAAGGCTGAGTCAACAACCAATCACAGCGAAGCTAACGTGGCAAAATATGATTCGCAGATAGAGAACTCTGTTTGTCAAGGAATCCCGAAACAACCAATCAGAAGCCTGCGTTTGTCTACCTAAACAACCAATCAGATGACTGCGCTTGTCTATAATAATGTTGTCTGAAATATGTATAAATACGTGTTGATTTTCATAATAAAACGATCTGTTGCCTGGCCCTTGTCTTCTGTTGTTACAGTAGAATACTCATCAACTGGGCAGGTGGTTCGCAGTTCGATCCTCGGCCGACAAGGCACTCTTTTACCTTCCACAAACCGGTTTTAAGACTAATAAACAGGGAAGGTTGGGCATGAGACTGGCAACCCCATCCCATAAAAGGAAACGCCAATCCTACTGAAACTTCTAAGCTCTAGCTTGAAGCCTTATGTTCCACTGGAAACGTCAAGGAATCGACAATAATAATAGGCGATTGTTCAAGAGGGATTTTCGTAACAATAATCCCATTACAAAATAAACGTATCTATTGGTGTATATATTCGATTTTAGAAGTAATATCTGTAAATGGCGAAGATTTATTTCAAGGTGGAGATATAAAGATAATTGCCTTAACAATCAGTTAAAGATGTATGTCAATAAAGTTTACTTATAAAGACGAGAGGGAGGGAGAAAATGATATGGGGTATTCCAATGAATAACTCGAAATCCTTGATCGATTTGTATTATTTATCATTACGCTTCAATGAAATATGCATATATAGAGAGAGAGAGGAACTTGACGTAATTAGGAAAGATAATGGTGATGATAACTGATAAGGACACTAGTGAGATAGATAAGATATAATTATGCTTAAGAGTCTTTAAACTTTGCTTGAATTAACTCCCAAAAGTTAAAACGAAAAACACTTTTAATAATAATCTCACATTTACGTGTGGATAATAATTACTGAATAGCAAGAAATATTAGTTGACCCACTAGAGAAAAAGTAACTGTTTACCCTATGAAAGAATGACTGAACGCTTGGGTTACATTAAAAGATTGTATTCTGTTTTGCCTAACTAATGTGTTACTACTACCTCCAACTTAGGGTTAAAAAAGTCGAAAAATTGAGATTTGCTGCATCGCTGCCAAATGACTCAGGGATGTGTGATGTTGGTTGTTTTTCAAGCTTCTTTTTAGGCTTAATAGAGATCAGCTAGGCTACCTTGCTTACTACCCATAAATTCTATAGTAACCACGAGAGTGAGCAATACCATTCTCATAGCTCGCTGATGGGACTGTAGATGGTTTTCTGTAGTCTTCCTAGACATACAAAGGCTATTCGCATGCTAAACTAGTTTCCAGGCATAACGATTTCATTGAATTTAGTGGGTGCTGGCTTCGTTTACAAGGGTTAGTGTTACTATAGCGTTGCTACGCATGCTACGCTTGCCTGCAATAAAGCGTTTGGTTAGTCTTGTATACATGAGGAGTTCTATTGGGTCTGTCTGTGAATTACTTAAATGATTGGTGTAAACATTGGTCGGTTTAACCATGCTTATCTATGCATTATAATATTGACTAACTGTGCGAACAGTCCACCGAAGAAGACATCTGTCGAGTGGTTGCGCCACAGGATGATACTGATTTCTGGTCCCGTCTAGCAAAAGGCAGGGATATATGTATATTAAGTACCCATTCAATGGGTGCATTGTTGTTCGAATAAATTGGTTGATCCTGAGAGTAGTCATCTGCTTGTCCCAGAGATCAACCCATGGATTTCTAAGTACATATCGCGAATGGTTTATTAAATCAGCTATGGTTCGTCAGATTATTTATACTGCATAGATAACTGTAGTAATTCTACAGCTTATACATGCAATATTGACCTGATCTGCAAGGGAAAGGGGTATATTTATTAGAACAGAACCAACCAAGGGGGGCAGTTTCAGCTGTCTCTTTTGAATTGTGTGATGACTTCGGATAAATTTAATGAACACAGCTGGACTCGAGTCAGCGACGGATCTTTTGAATGTCTGCCCAACCAATTTGTTGGTAGGTGATTAGCCTACCATGATAATAAGAACAATCAGGATTCGATTCTGGACAGAGAGTTTGAGAAATGGCTACCACATCCAAAGACGGTAGTAGACCTAAAAATTACCCACTACTAGCACGGGGAGATGGTGACGAAACATATGAACATGAGACTTAACTAAAGCTCCTTAATTCGAATGAGTAAAATTTAGATTATGTACGGCTGATTAACAGTCATTTGAATAAGTGTTGATAGAAGGAATGCGGCAAACTTAACGTGTGCAAGTATGATTCGTAGATACATGGCTCAACCTTCTGAGAAACGGTAACAAGCAGTACAGAACAGCTTTCAGCAGGAGAACAGCCATTCGGAAGAAGCTGCTTCTCCGCCAACAATAACGCTAATAATAATGCACATAAAAATCTATAAATACCTCTTGATTTTCTGAATAAACGGTCTATTGCCTGGCCCTTGTCTCCTGTCGGTACAAAATTAGTATATTTTTCGAAGTAAGAAAGACAAATGAATGATCTTTAGAGATCTAATATCTTTAAAAAATGCCATTTAAAATGAATACTTAAGTGCTAAGGACTTGGAATTAAGAATAGACTAAACTAGACACGTATGGCTGATGAGTTTCAAAAAGTTGTGAAATTAAATCTATATTTTACAGTTTGTGAACTTCTCTTAACATCTGTTGATGAACTCAGTGTTATTATCATCAAGATTGAAAGAATTTGAGCCTACATGCACGCTCGAAATATTTGCATAGGTGTCGGACGTAATCAAGTTCAGATAGATGACTTTAAGAAGGTAAAACTTCAGGAGAATCCACAGGTCTAAGTCATACGTCATCTAAATATGTACTAGAACCTTCAGCTATAGATTAAACAAGATACATTAGGCACAGGCTAATGCATTCGGACCTTACATTGACTGATGTATAACGAAAACTAAGCTATCTTGCGGCACATTTTATTTTATTTAAAACACACAGAACCTTGAACTGCAGTGTGTTCACCACTGATTGCGGTTCCTGGTCATTTTGAACCACCCATTCAAACTGGCTGTCGGGCACCAAGAAGGGAGTTACGAATTGCCAAATGATGATAACCTGACACAAATATTCTTCATCCTACAACTCCACGTCATTAACTGACAATTACACCGCCTTCCCCATCAAGACCAGTGTGAAAGCCTCTGAAATGATATAAGTAGGACATGTTCAAGCCATTGGAGCAATGAACTTCAATGTGTCTAAACAAACGCCGATTGATCTCAGGATTACTCACACGATGATACCGTTGTACGCAAGCAATTCTACAGAGGCAGTGATGATGGAACACATAGAGTCACCTCATAGCAGTGTAAGCCTGATCTTTGATAAGCAGGCTGACATCACGACGGTGCCACAAGTAGCTGAAACTGGAGTATGCCACCATAGATTTCATTATACGGATATATATCCCTCCGGTCAAACCCTGTGCCGGCGCACTCACAACTACTCAGATACATGAACTCATAGATAACTTCAAGCGGTGTCAATTGCAAGGAAGAATGCAAGTACAGGCTCCAGCCAACCTTTTAACAATACTTCTCACTTAGACCTAGCAACGCACATACCATAATTACAGACATAGCAGTATAAAATGTGAGTTTCAAAACGCTCAACAGTGGAAATTTTATTAAAAAACAAAAAGAAAAAAGACAAAGTACTTACGATCTACTAAAATATCCAGATTGTATTCATTTTTTTCAGAACGAAGTCCAGTTTCATGGATAACTCTAATCCAGGTGTGTTCTTCTCCGACAATTAAACTATTTACATTTTCATAATTAGCGTCTTTACTCTAAAGATGCAGGAAATAAATTAAAGTGTGAAGGGACATAATTAGAGAGAGAATTTATACTGTAAAGTGTCAAATTATATGTTACTTTTATTGATATAATGATAAATAAAAATAATGGCGGAACTAGTAATGATAACATAAAAAAGAAAATGTATAAGGCATCTACAGTAGTTTACCATATGAAGGGGGGATATCTGAGAGTATCCCTACGTAGGATTCGCAATAAATCAGGAATTAGATGGTGGCATTTAAGCCTATAATCTCACTGAGTTAGGACAAAGTTTGTAGGCTAAAGGATCCAGTTGACCCAATTCGACAAAATAATATAATTTCCAAAATAACTTGCAATGACTGTGAGTGAGGTCAGCTATATAGGTCAAACTAGTAGATCGCGGGTAGTTAGACTGTCAGAATATAAGAATTCAGCTAAGGTAAGAATGGTTCACCCGACGAAGATAAGTAATTTAGAAAAATCTCAGCGATTGCACAAAAATTCTAAGAAGTTATATAGGTAGGTGGAGAGAGAGAGAGGTTGATTACTGAATCCTGGTTCATTAAGTCTACACCCAACACATATAACAGAAATGATTCAACGCAAATACCAGAGATATACATGGAAGATAGTATTACCACCAGTCAAATCAGAGAATAATATATAATTTTAAAATGTATTCAGTTCATATTATAAAATTCTAACAAGTTATTTATTTTACTGTAAAGGCATCTTATTTCCCATCTTATCGACTAACGACACTCGTCTTAGTTCGCATCATATTTTATTTATTGATAACACTAATATTGGTTCCGAATGTACTTTATCTTCCATTCTGTTTCGCTCATGCCTTATATTGATTTTATTCAAATGTCTAATCATTTTTTACATATATATATATTTAAAACAATTAGTTCCCTTTATGAATTTAGATAAAGCAATAAGAAGACGTAATTTGTCTGAATCGTGTAATGTATTTGCGCAACACATTTCGAACACAGTGACTTGTCATAGGAATATATATGAAATTAATAAAGAGCTAAGAGGTGAGAATATAGACTTAGGTCAAGTTAAAAGGACATAATCAAGGTCAAAATAACAATGAAGACCACTAAACCAAATAGCAGAGGTAATAGTACATCTGCTATGGTATCAAAACAAAATTTACCAAGGAAGGTTTAATGTGATGACAAATTGTTTTTGGACGCATAAAGGTGGCTTGAACTTTCTAATTGCTAGGGCTTCTACAAACTTTAGGATACGCCCCAAACACGTTTTATAGATAGGTTTAAAAGATCTGTTAACATCAATTTTATGACCTGTCTCTATAATATTTTTCGCAATAGAAGAGTTAGGTCTCCTGTTCTCACCGTTAATAGGTTCTGATGATTCCATTTGTTTCTGGAGCCATTTTGGAATATGCCCTGAAGCCCTTATTTGCAGATATATATATATATATATATATATATATATATATAGACGAGGCAAGAAAGTGGTGTGGGTGCCTTGATACGATTACGAGTGGCAATGAATTGTGCTCGTAACGTGGTTATCAGTCAATATTACTGTATAACACCACTGTGTGATTTTATCAAAACCAAATTTTATCCAAAATGATATATATATATATATATATCTTTAATTGCTTATAGTCCTTGTATTCATTTAGAACTCCTGCGTAATTTCGTATTCTCCACTTTATTCCTATATGTGTCTTGAGTAAAAATCAATCATGAAACTATTCATATTATTACATAACTCCTTTTTAACAACTGTTTGTGACAACTCATCACCTTTGTTTAAACAAAATAAATGTATGCATACAGTAGTATAGGAGTTACGTAATAAAGATGAGAGATGCGTAAGATGAGTAACTATCTTTTATTATTTATCTTATTTTGATTACAGCTTGATTCCACACCGTATTTTTGGGACAAGTGTGGAATTTTCAGCGTGGATATCGATATCGCAGGCCGACCATAGATATCAGGTGTGCGTCGGCGTGGGCTCGAACCCCGAACCATTAGGTAACAATGTACTGAGTTCAATTCAAAGCATAGTAACAAGAGGCAACCGAAATTACACTACATCAAAGGGAGGTGAGGATAAACCCAAAGATTACGTAACCAAACGAAAGAAAGAATAAGGACATCCAGTCACCAGGATTGACCAGTAGAGACTGAACACTGTTTCTTTCTGAACACATATATCGGATTGCAGGCGTTTGATGAAGATTGCTTCGGCAAACTTGAGAAGAATTGAGCTTTTTCGTCTATTGATAATTTTTAAGGACTTTGCAATGTCCACCTCATGACCTATAAAAAGGAGATGGCTGGCAATGGAAATAATGTAAATGTTTGTTCCCTTGGTACGTATGGTACGTATCAAGAAAATCGGAAGTGTGCCCTTCTTCCTGTTCTTCCAATGTAACTGCTCTCACAGATAAATGTAAATTTGTAAACACAGTTACAGTTAACATGAGGAGAGTATCGATTGAATTTTGACTGAGCCAAAGAGCATATTTTCCGATGAACAGGGAACCAACTTAACTGGAGGATAGGCTCTGGCCATTGGCATATTCATTCTTCAATTCATTATTGCTGCAATATTTTCACCTTTAAAATCTAGCTGAATAAAGACAGGCTTTCTTCGCACTGTGATTTGTTCGATGTTTTAGCCTTCACATCTTCCATATTTGTCAATGAATCTCTGGGGTAACCGTTTTTTTCAATATGTTTTCGAGAGTCATAAACTCTTCTAATTTCTCTATGGACCGTTTTGTTCCAGGTCTATAGTATAGATTCTTGATTGGTGCTCGTTTTAAGCTATTTGAACAAAAACTACTAAAATGCAAGTATTGCCCATTCCATGTTGGTTTTCTGTAATTTGAGCTCTGAAGACTACCACCTTCCAGAGGTTGCATAGCAATGTCAGAATAGTGGAACTTTCCATCATTTTCATGTTCCGTAGTAAATTCAACATTTGTATGTGTCGTTGAGTAATTTGAGTGGGTAGGAAGAAGGACGGCTATTTCGTTCGAACTCCGGTGGGTGCGCACTGACGAAGAGTCCCGGACTACGACAAAACAGCTGTCCAGCACTCCCACTTTTTCCAATGCTTCTGTAACTGATGTCAGCCAATAATGAAATCCTCCATTCAATCAAACAAAAATCCCTACGAAACCAATACTTTATAAATGATATGATGCTCACTAACGACTGGTCCCATTCAGGTAGTTACCTGGGGTTCTAGTGGGAAGCCATGAGCAGCAGGGTACAGCAGGTTAAAGGTGAGGCAATAACTCATCTAAGAAAACATTGCGAAGTGATCGCACTATGTCATGAATTGGCAGAAGTTAGAATTCACAGGCTGGCCATTGATGAGTCGGGTCTCAGTGGCCTAACGGTACACAATCTCGTCTTATTTATTAGTTCAAAATTAGGGTCATAAAGTAATTTGCTCATACGTATATGTTCCATTAATGAGTAACTGTTTGAAGTAAAAAGAAACTATGTTTCACAGTGAAGTTGAAAAAAATGCAAGTTTCTCATCTTTCAAAGCAACAGTACTCAGTTAGTGTTTCTCATTGAAATTTACCAAAGAAGTGAAATCCAGACATATACATATGCTGAAGATAAAATGAGCATTGAGGATTAGATGGATTTCCTATGGTCAGCTATCTCTGACAAAATATAATCATCCAAATCGATATTTCCCTCTTTCTGAAAAGTTCATTATATTACTGTGAAAATACTGCTTTAAATAAGTAACTTTTTAAATGACTTATTCCTAATATCAACTGAAAACAGCTGTTTCATCTAGATTTGGGACTCTCCAGCAGTAATCAATCGCTGGAGTTAGAACCCAAGACTTTCCAGTTATAATTTGAACTCGTAGACCACTCAGCCAATGGGATCCAATTTTAATGACTAGCCCAGCTTCTCGTAATTCGCGATATCTATATATTGCAAGTATTAGTCAGTGCCATAGGGTTTAAATGATCTCTCGCCTGACTTGGTTGACCCATTTGGGTACTACTTCTCGCTACAAATCCAGATAAATTTCTGTATAGAGTCAGTCACTCACTAGTGGGCATCGGACTAAATATCAATTGCTAGTTTGCATGGATTCGACTGGTTACAGGCTTGAGAACCAGTTGACACCAGCTGACATGGATTAACTGTTCACTAATCTATTAGTGTGCATTATCTAAGTATGTTATAACTAAAAGTTATATTTAGAACAACACATTTAACCGAACAATATTGTGCCTCCAATTAGATCCCATCAGGCTTAACTCTAATATACCTGCATAACTGTACAAATAAAAATTCAATTATAAACCACCAATCATGATGTTTTGTCTATAGGATAATAAGATGGTGAATATAAATTGTGCAGTTAGTCATAATAGTAGCAATGATATTAATAATAATAATGGTTCTATCAATAATAAGGATGAAAAAGTGAGGCAATCTGTGATAACACGAATAACAAAACAAACAGCATGATTAAACAAACAAATGTTCAGGTAGACGAAGTAGTCGATAAAGGCTAGTAAGAACAAATTAACCGATTACGTAATGCTACATTGTAAGGAAAGTAAATGAAACACGTTTTCAATGAAGATGTGATAAGATTAAGGGATGATAAGAAAGGTGTTGGAAATATTACCAAGAGGGGTGGTGTAGAAGCCATTAGTTGGTTATGTCAAGGGAGGGATAATGGCTGTACACGAACTTCTTTGGAATGCATAGTTTAGGTTTAAATGGTCGAATGCCTGTCGTCTGCCTCATCTGTGTGCAGCAGACGAATACGAAGTCTATCAAAAAGATTCGGTGGGCTGCGATGAATTACTCTGAAAGCTCTCGTTTTCTCCACTACATGACCACTATCAACTAAATGTGATGTGACCAAATTGAGCTACGGATTGTTTTTGTCTGTCCTTTACCAAACCACGATGGGAGATGTTCAGTAACACAGTGGTTGGCTAAGCTGTCTAGTAGTACTCCCAACACAACTGTCATCGCAAGTGTAGTTGAAGTGATAAATGCACATAGATATGTGGCAAAACTATCAAGCTTATCCTTTGTTTGCGTCCCAGTCATTCGTCGGTTAGAGAATGACAAACATAGGTGTGCTGCGTAAAATGTTCTTCGTATTCTCCTTGAAAGTCTTTAGAATAAAATCTCACTTGATAAGTCACCATTAAATTGTAACTTAATAAATAGAGGTTTCTTACGTGCAGTCAAAGTCTCAGGTTTTCCCTCTGATATTCTCATATGTTTCTTTAATGAAACTACTCGGATAGCCCATCTCCGTCAAGGAATCGTGAATATGTATTCAAATTCATTTTGTAAGAGGTCATCTTGTTCTGCTCACAAGACATTTAACAACATTCCTTTTTATATTTAATGGGCACGTAACTAAGGAAGTGTGAGTATTGCCCTGTGAATGTGCCTTTTCTATACACGCTTCGCACAAGTGACCCATCTTCTCGCCTACTTATCAAGACATCCAGAAATTGTAGTTTATTCTCCTGCTCCTCTTCACAAGTAAAGGTAAGCGAAGGATGGATGTTGTTGAATTTCAGCAACAATTCGTCTATGTTAACATTTCCATCAGCTAAGATAAATGTATCATCGACATATCATCGGCAATACATATCAAACTCCTTGATGATGTCTTTCAGTTTCCCATTTTCAAGTTTTGCGAGAAAGATGTCAGCTAATATTGGGCCTTATGGTGAACCGATAGCTATTCCGTCTACTTGTTGATAGTATGAATTATTGAAGACAAAGTGAACATTCATTGTGCATTTAAATTTTACTATGGGAATATTTACTCTATTAAAAATTATATCGCTTTTATCAATTGGTTGACTTTCAGTGTCAATTTGAAACAAACTGATCATTGTTAAATGCAATCTGATGAGAGAATTTATAACTTACTTTTACAGATAACGTAATTAAAAAGTCAGGATCCAATTCTGTTGAAAATGCTGTCAACTTTTGTCTAAGTTCTGAACCAATATGAATAAGATACGGTCCCCAAGTATGACCGATTGAAAAATGTCCAATAGCGCAAACAGTTAGACAGTTCGATTCATTTAACACAGATATTAATCCTGGTGGTATGTAGGATAGTGATGTGTTCATTCTGTGAGTAGTGTTCGATGTATTACTGTTATTATTATTAATATTGTTAGCTGTGGTAGTAGTATTCAACGCCGTTACATTCACACTTAAATCATTTCTGTTCATGCTGATTTGATCATTATGCAAAGTTGACTGACTATTCGAGGCAGACGATGTATCCCATTGTGTTGTTGTTCCTGTGATGAATGATAAAGACAAGAATTATGAATATAGGAATCTGAAGTGGAAAACAGTATAAACTTAGGTATTGTTAGTATTTAATTAAATTTTAGATTTTCCCGTCGATTGATTGAACAGAAGTGCTCGGTCTCAGGTTGGCATGTTTGCGCCTTGTGCAAATACTTCCAGGATGTCTGGCATGTAATCTGAATTCAGTTAGTAGATGGTGACTAGCAGTGGAACTCACCAGGATGCGCATTTCCTCCTATTCGAGAATCGTTGCCAGCTGGATGTACCTGCATTCCTCACTCAGTGAGTGATGGTGTTTCCACCACCGAAGCTCGAACCCAGTGCCCATAGTTTCGAACGCCAAAGCGAAATGCGCATACTGGACTCCACCGCTAGTCACCGTCCACCAATTAACATCTAATTACATCCCCAGACATTCTGGAAGCGCAAGGCGCAAACATGTCAACCCGAGACCTAGCACTTCGGTCCAATCAATTGACGGGGAAATCTAAAATTCAAATACATAATTAATATGACCAGTTGCACAAGAGGCAGTGGCTCTCGTGGTCAAGCGGAGAAGGCGTTGACGTTTGAAACTGTGAGCAGTGGGTTTGAGACTCGGTGGTGAGAACATCATCACTCACTGAAGTGAGGAATGCAGGTACATCCAGCTGACCACGAGTCCAAAATAGGACGAAATGTGCGACCCAGTGGATTCCACTACTAGTCACCATCCACCAATTAAATTCGAATTATATTGTTAGTATTATTACTGAATATTTTTAGTTCACATTCAATGACAAAATCACACGCACAACTTGGAATAAAATCAGTGGAAACATTCTGATCTCATGTGGATATTTATAACATAATATTTCTTCTAGACAAAGTAACAAAAATAACGAGACATTTTAAAAATCTCCTAGTGAATTTTTCAAATATATGCAAATTGCTCACAATTAGCAGTGTGGATATTGTTGTAAGTTGTTTGAAGGTAATCATCAGGAAGTTCACTACAGACCTAAGCTTCGTACTTATTGATACTCATCAGTCAGCAAAGCAAATCTGTCATCTTCAAGGAATTCATGTGCCTCCTGAGATCTGAAGCTGCGTCATCCAGTATGCTGCAGTCTGAGACTTTACATGTAGGAATGTATTATTATTTATTATTATTGTTGCCTTGGGTTCCTAGTGGGACATAGGGCTTCAACTGCACGTATCCACTTGCTTCTGTCTTCCTTCTGCTGTACTTTTCACCTCCATCCATGTTAGTTAGTCCATGCTGTTTCAACTACTCTTCACACCATCTCCTCCATGTCACCCCCGCACTGACGTCCCACTCACCGCTTCCCACTCGGGTTCCACTCGAGCAATGGCCTGACGCGCGCGCGATGTCACCCAGCGGCTTCCTCAGCCGCGAGTGTCCAATCCATCTCCATTTTCTCCTGCATATTTGTTGGTTGGCAATTGATTGGTTCTTCTTTTGTTTGTTTCTTCCCAGCCATAGTTTCTTGTTGGTGATTCTTTCCGGCCCGGCTATCTGATCTTCAGTATAGATCCAGGGAAGAGAGTTGTTGATAAAGGTGTGGTCTGCAACAGGCTGTTGGAAATATTCTTTGTGACCCACCCACCAAGTTTCTGATCCGTATAGAAGAATTACCTGACTTGACGTTGTTTGCATTGAAAATCAAACCGAATTTTGTTGTTCATGGTGAGTGACGAAATTTTCCAGATTGGTTTCGGGTTGATGAATGTATTTCTCGTCTTCCCGATTCTTGCTCTGACATCCTCGTCTGTTCCTCCGCAGGAATGTATTGGGTACTTTGATTGGACAATTGTTGGTAACTAGTATCATCCGTCTAGTACTTTGTTTGATGCAGACTGAATTCTACCAGTGGTAACGTCTCTGACTGCAGAACTGGATGATAACAGTCCAAAATCTCAGAGTTCCTAGTGGATCGCAGATACGCCTTGCTGACGAGTGCCAACTAGCACAACACCTATGTGTCAGGCTTCCTTTCGATTGCCCCAACCACCTAATTAGCAACATTTCGCAGTGCATCATATTGTCAAACCATTTAGCATGATGGCCACATTGCAAAACTTGACTGATAGAATTCGATGTGCACCAAAGATAGGACTAGTCGGATTATACTAATCACTCATTAGTATCCAATGAAATGTAAATATACCTCGAAGTAACTATGATATATTCATGATACAATAACTGTCTTCTACAGATGTGTTCCATGATACTTACAACATTATCTGCAACTGTTATGCATATATTAATACGATTGCATAACTGAAAAATAATACACTTAGTGAATTCACGTAGACAATAAACCGATTAAAAAGAAGTCTTAAAACACTAGTGAAATATACTGCCAGTAGGTTAGGTTATTTCAGCAGTTATCTACATATCAAAAGAGCAGTGTGAAAACAACGATATCTCAATAACGAGAACAATCACCTACCCCATTTCACATGTTTTAGAAGTAACACTTTGAGAGGAACAACACAATTTTAGCTTATATGGCAACATAGACCAACTATTTTGTCCGTATAAGATTAATAAAGGAAAATTACAAGTAGCACACGAATTACGGAAATGACATTGGTCGTGGATAAATAACTTATTGACGAGTATGCACTGGGTTCGAATCACGATGGTTAAAGGCACCGCTCGCAATTATGCAGGCATATCCAAGAAAGAAAGAAATACTAGAACTACTTATTCCCAAATGGGTAAACTTTACGAACACCTGAATAATATCAATCTTCTGGGTTCTGTCTAGTCTTGTCAAACACTATCCGATTTATCGGACGAAGTAAAACCATGAGTATTGGCGGTTATTTCATTGAAATTCCGACTTTCTAGTTGAATAATTGAGCCAAAGTGTTCAGCCTCAATTGGGATGTCGGCTGTTTATGTGGATACTTTGATGGTATCCCAGGAATATAACTTGAAGTAATTTTTTGTGCATGGTGACTAACAGTGGAATCAATCGGAACACTACCACTCACTAAGGAATGCAGGTACATCCAGTAGATAACGAGTCGCAAATAGGATGAAATGGTCATCCTGGATTCTACCACCAGTCATCACCCACTAAATTGCCTCACGTTGAATCCTCAGATATCGTCAAAGCATTGGCAGGAAACCACTGATATATTGAGCATAAGACAGAATTTCTGAATCAAGAATTTAATGTCAGAGACTGTCAATAGTCAGCTAAATCTATGACGAAATAAAAACACACTTACCTTATAAACAAGCGAAAATAATATTGAAGTCGTTTAAATTAGGTCGTTCGGAAACTACTTCAACACTACAACGTGCCCCGAATCTTTACCAAGCTAATTTATCAGCATGTGTCAGGTAATCCAGAATGGAAAACTTAGCGAAATCTTTGAAGTGCAGACAATGGTAAGACAAGGGTGACTACTGTCACAGGTTGGATTATGCGGAAGACTGTAGGGAGCGAGAAGACAGGAATATGTTGGAATGCGTTGGTGGCACAGCGGTTAGGATGCTGGCCAACCATGCACATGGACTGGGGTTCGATTCCCGGCCGACAAGGCACTCCTCCTTAATCTCGCTAAGCCAGTAATAAACCTGGTAAAGAGGAAAGGTTGGGTATGAAGCTAGCAACGTCATACCGTTAAAACAATAAGCACCACTGCTACCGAAACTTCAGGCCTCTAGCTTGGAGCCCTTTGTTCCACTGAGAACGTGAAGGAATAAAAAACAAAGCAGACGTGGATTTCACGGATGGCTTTCGTCTAATATTGCAAAAAAACCGAACACTTACAGACAAAAGCCAAAAACTTTTTCAGAAGAAGCTGTAAAGAAAGGACTTCAAGTTCACGCGTATATTGACAGAGGTGATGAAAATAAGCAACCAACTAACAACAAAAACAAACACCAATCACTATCGATGGGAGAAATGTGAAAGAGACCACTTCCTGCATTTATCAGGCCAGGCAGTATGGATGAAATTGTCTAAACCGGACAGGATCAGGAAGGTAAGGGAAGACAAACCTTCATCACTGAAATCAATTTGAAAATCTTCTGCAGTCAGCAAGATTAACAGCAAAATTAGGATTTCCAGCACAACTTGACGCCCTCGTCACCAAAAACATTCCTCACAGCCTACTGCAAACTTGCGTCAATAGCTGCCAACTTCTCTGGCTCCATATTGAAGATGATATGGTTGACGAAAAATAAACTATCACCAAGAAACTATGAGAACGAACCAGTCAAGAACCTATTATTCAACAAATATTCCGAATCAGGGACACACTGAGGAGACCATCGAAAGACATCCCATATCATGCCATCTCTCGAGTGATAAACGGCAAGTTAGGTGTGTGTCAGAGGGTGACATAGAGGAAGTCATGTGGGAAGGGGATGGGAGCTTATGAAGAATCTTTGTGCCAGCTAACAAGGAATGCAGAGAACATGGTGAAATTGAGGTGTACTGATGAAGCCCAATGTTCCATTCGGAATCCACTGGAACGCTGATAATAATAATAATTAGATAAGGCATGTACTCATTTAGATGCAAATGGCTAAATCGGTTTCTGTTGGGTGTATTGAATTACAGATGAAGACGAAATAAAATGTCGGATAGTAACAGAATTCAACCAATAGCCTTCATACTACAAGTCTAATGATCTACGGAAAGATCCAAGAGACTCAACCATTCATCCGCAGGTGTGTGTATTCCACTTTGGGCAGTAACAACTTCTGCCATATTTTTATATAATCATAGACGATAATAAACCCTGCAATAAACACCAAAAAAAAAACTATGCATGTGAAACACAAATTATCTCCATGGTAAGAGCTAAATATCTCTGACTCGTTAACCCGAAAATTATCTCTACTATCTTTATTCAATTTTCAAAGGGGTTAACGCCAAACACTTATCACAGTTTCTAAATCTTTTAATAGTAAAGTCGGTTGTCGTGTTTTCTCTTCCCTTCCTTTCTATCCAATATA